TGGGGACATCTATCAACCGAACGCGTCCCCGTACACACAGCACTGTACGCAGGGCTACTGGAAACGCATACATTCTCACACTTTTACTACAATATACGCATTGTTAGCCCGCCAATAATACGTTTCAAAAAAGCGCCGACCGAAAAATATGTATCGTTAAATGACGCAGTATTATAAAAGTACAGCGAAGGGTATGGTTTCCTCTCATACTTTGTCGTTTGGTATCGCCTTTTTACTTCAGCTAGAGACGGAAACAGTCACGAGTCGACTGTTTCAGGATTAGGTGGGCGTGGCTACAACACAAGAAATATCTCAAATTTACTCGGACACGAGTAATCATTCATTCAACCAAAGATCAGTAACTGTCTATTTCAGTGGAACAAAAATCCAAAATGAATGCCCGACTCAATTATACTCTATTATTTTAATGCAATTCCGGATTCCGGCCGGAATTCCTCTCCTTGTCTGCCTGGTTTATATATAAATGTTTTCCAATGTAAAAAAAAACGACCTCCTTCAGCTTATTTTTAACAACATTTATCTATTCCCTGATAATTTTAAATTGGAAACTTTCTGATAATAAACTGCATATGTGAATAATTTAACAAACTTTCATGTAATTACATGTACACTAATGAAGCAAGCAGGCAATAATGAGTGAACCATAATTTATTATTTTTGTAGAACATCGCATTCTTATAAACTTTACAGATAAAAATAATAAAATTTAACAATTAAAAGGATTACAAGCAGCATGACAGTTATGACAATAGTACACAGTTATTTGAAACTCAAGAAATTCAGTTTTACAAATACTTATAAACGAAATTGCGCATGGGCAGTTGATGATGTAATACATATATTCCAGTAAAAGTAAAATAAACATTCTTTGCATCATAAGGCGATATTGATATTCCACTCATTACTTGCATTGTTCATATTACACTCATTACTTGTGCTGTTCATATTACACTCATTACTTGCATTGTTCATATTACACTCATTACTTGTATTGTTCATATTACACTCATTACTTGCATTGTTCATATTACACTCATTACTTGCATTGTTCAGTTACAACCATTACTTGTATTGTTCATATTACACTCATTATTTGCATTGTTCAGTTACAATCATTACTTGCATTGTTCAGTTACAATCATTACTTGTATTGTTCAGTTACAACCATTACTTGCATTGTTCAGTTACAATCATTACTTGTATTGTTCAGATTACAGTCATTATCATCTAGTTTTGTTCAGATTATGTTCATTACTTGCATTGTTTAGCTACAATCATTACTTGTATTGTTCAGTTACAACCATTACTTACATAGTAAAGATTACACTCCTAAACTTGCATTGTTCGGTTACAACCATCACTTGAATTGTTCAGATTACACTCATTACTTGCAATGTTCAGTTACATTTATTACTTACATTGTCAAGATTACACTCCTAAACTTGAATTGTTCAGATTACACTCATTACTTGCATTGTTCAGATTACACTCATTACTTGTATTATTCAGATTACACTCATTACTTGCATTGTTCAGAATACACTCATTACTTCTATTATTCAGATTACACTCATTACTTGCATTGTTCATATTACACTTATTATTTGCATTGTTCAGTTACAACCATTACTTGTATTGTTCATATTACACTCATTATTTGCATTGTTCAGTTACAATCATTACTTGCATTGTTCAGTTACAATCATTACTTGTATTTTTCAGTTACAACCATTACTTGCATTGTTCAGTTACAATCATTACTTGTATTGTTCAGATTACAGTCATTATCATCTAGTTTTGTTCAGATTATGTTCATTACTTGCATTGTTTAGCTACAATCATTACTTGTATTGTTCAGTTACAACCATTACTTACATAGTAAAGATTACACTCCTAAACTTGCATTGTTCGGTTACAACCATCACTTGAATTGTTCAGATTACACTCATTACTTGCAATGTTCAGTTCCATTTATTACTTACATTGTCAAGATTACACTCCTAAACTTGCATTGTTCAGTTACATCCATTACTTGTATTGTTCAGATTACGTTCATTACTTGCATTGTTCAGTTACAGCCATTACTTACATTGTCAAGATTACACTCCTAAACTTGCATTGTTCAGTTACAACCATTACTTGTATTGTTCAAATTACAGTCATTATCATCTAGTATTGTTCAGATTACGTTCATTACTTGCATTGTTCAGTTACAACCATTACTTACATTGTCAAGATTACACTACCAAACTTGCATGGTTCAGTTACAACCATTATTTGTATTATTCAGATTACAGTCATTATCGTCTAGTATTGTTCAGATTACGTTCATTACTTGCATTGTTTAGTTACAATCATTACACTCATCGCTTGTATTGTTCAGATTACACTGATAAAAAATAGACAAATAAAGCCCTAACAACGATCTTAATTGATTTAGACTGGCCTTATCAGCATTTAAATAATATGCAAGTCGACTTAAGGATGTTCGCAGCTAACACATTTTTAGGACAGGAATTTCATGAAATTTTGCTAAATTGTTCTTTGCGACTGGCTGTTTTAAATTCTGGGGAAAAAATTAGGGTACCCGAACTAGTTCCTCAACTGTATGCACTTTATCATTTCCCAGTCCAAAATGACCGCCAAAGTAAAATTTAACGTTATTGGGAAATCTCATTGTCAATGTTTCCATGGAAACCAGGTCGGGTACCCCAGCTCTATTATTTTCTCTTTGTTATTTATTTGTTGGAGCTTGTCAATCAGCAAAAAATCAAGAAATTGTAGTGCTCTTAAAAAGGCCACATATTTAACCTCGTTTATCTTCAAGTGATTAACACTGGGTGACTAAAATGTTATTACATTATGATATAAATAATTTTGAAATTGATTAGATTAAGTTGTAGGTTCAGGTTTCACTCAGAAGTGGCGCCTTCATGATGTCACCCGTTCTGCGCACTGAAGGGGAAGATGGTGATTGGTCGCTCCCACTTGCGTAACTCGGTGGCGGTGATTGGCCAGTTGGTGGCGGGATGTCGGCAAGCGTTGGTTGTATAGTAACCAGCCTATGAGTCGGCGTGCCTGTTGGTGTCGGCATACCTGAAATGTGAAATATATAGAAATATTAGTTATAGAAGTGGGCAATGTGTGATTGCTAAGAAATGGGGGATTAGAAACACTTTCTTCTATTAGTCTAATATTACAATAGCATTTTTGAAAAGGTCAATTTGAAATCTAACAACAATTTATAAGATTTCAGTTGATATCTGAGACCAATCAGAGCACTTGTGTATTTGACTTCATTGGATTTATACGTAGTCCGCAGACCAAGAGCCAATCACAGACCTTCATTTTGATTTAAATGAAACACACCTGTAAATATTCCCATGGTAACACTACTTACAAGCCACTCTAAAGGTCATGACCACTAATTCTTCAAATATACGTCACAACGTCTTCACGTGATTGAAATCCCTCCACAATACACGTATTTGTCTTACCAAATGTATCAAAATAATGGTCCAATGGTTTCATAGAAAAAAACAGACGTCGTGGTCCGTTCAAACTAAAAGCGTGCGGGTTTTCACCTGCGCACGCGCACGGGCGGGAATTGAATCCCAAGCCACGATAAAACCGCAAAGGCTCATGGGTACACGTTTGTTTGTAAACAATGACACACTATGGCCATCGGACGCATGCGCAGGTGATGTCTCCTCTGCTTTAATTAAAAATATGACACATTTTTCTCTCAGTGGCCAATCAGGAAAAACTCTACGACTTGTGATGTAGCTACCAACCTCTCCCCTGTGAAATAAGCTGTACGCCTTGTGGGATCATTACGACGGCTGGAGCGCCTTCAGTGACTGTTGCCATGGGTAACTGCGATTGAGCCGCATCTGGCTGGGCAAAGAAGTACACCTGCAAAAAATGGTTGATGGAAACAATCTGACTGCACACAGAATAAACGTTATCCAAGATAGAATGTGTTACTTAAAATCGGTGCAAGCTTTTATGGCAATATGAAACTGCTGCGCCCTCATCGACGGCTAGTGAAAATAGTGACATAGTTGAGGGCGCAATCCACACACGATTTTATGGCAATACTGTAAAACACGTCATTTTACCTAATTTAGCTAATCTGTAATTTCGCTAATTCAAGATGTCGCTAATTTAGAATACAGTATATTCTCACGATGAGATTATTGGCATTTTAGCTAAAATAAGATTTTGTTAATTCATGCATTGAATCAAATTTCATTGTGTTTTACAGTACATGTATATTGATATAAAGACCGTCAGAGACTGGATATCAGGAAATGTTTCGCAGAATGAAATGCGTGATTGATGGGACAGAAACAGTTTCATTTGATTTGAGTAGTGTACTGTATGTACAGTGCCAGTTCTCGGACAGAAACAGTTCTCGCAATTTGTGAGAAATTGTGAGACCATCGAACTCGCTTCAGAATAAACATCAAAATATATAATCAGACTTCATATAAATGTAAGGTTTTTGTTCACACCCTAAGTTTATTCTGGGCCACCTACAAGAAAACTATCCTATGAGTTGTAATGCAATAGTTTCGTGCGACTATTATAAGTTTTCTGCTTTAAATTTTGTATTAGGTCGAAGATGTTAACGAGAGCGTGATCAGAGTAGCGGTACATACGCGATTTAAATAAATGGTTACGTTTCGTAGTCCGATCATTGGACACAATGTTATGCAGATGCGTTTGAAAGAAAACACCCTTGACTGTATTACTCTTCTGCTTGTTTTCTGTTTTCTGAAGTTATTAAATTCAACTGATGATAATTGTGAATATAAAACACAGCATTGGCCACACTATCTATAACAGCGTTCGTGATTTCCACGCATGCGTCATGGGACATCATAGATCTACTTATGAATACGTACCACTGGAGCCCCTGGGTCACCACAACACACAGCTCGACAGCAAAATACAGCACTCAGTATGCCAAATATAGATTCCAGGAAAGCGATCACAACAATAGCACCATCCACTGCAAGACGCCCTTTCTGAGTGAGACGGGAAAGTACAACGATAAATTATGATTTGATTAATGTATTGTAACGTTTTTGACAACAAGTTCAAAATTACTTTTTCAAATTTGGATTTGTAAAATTAATATTGGAGTAACTATATCGAATGTGACTATCTTTAAGCGGAACTCTATTCTCCAAACTCGGCCATCAAGGTACAATGGAACTTTTAAGTTACTATTGTTCCCATGGTTACCAACTGTAGTGGTCAGGGTGTTTCAAAAGTGTTGCGGTCATTAAAATGCCGTGTGAGTAATTATAACATTCTTAAAATCATAAAATGACCACTAAGACATTTTAAAACTTATTACTGTTCCCGTGGTCACCGAATGACGTGCATAATAATATTATACTTCATGTTTAGAAACAATTCAGTTTTAAAAATGGCCGCCAAGTTGCGATGAAACTTACTATCGTTTCCATGGTACAAATATAACTACCGCGGCCGTGGAGATAGTCATAACAATCATTATAGTAATCTTCAAGACTTAATGCAATGGAAGCCAACACCAGTAACACGATACCACTGACAACAGATGACAAAATCGATAACACTAACGATGCTATTATCTGTAAAACAGTTAGTATGTTAGTGATTGGACGACAATATACGGAGTGGATATA